GAATTTTTTGACCAGATCCTCAGTAAGAAATCAAATGTCCACTGTGACCCAGGATGTAAGTACATATATGTGTTTTGTGTATGAATGTGTGTGTGTATGTGTGTCTGGAGTTAAAAATCAGTCTTATTCACTGAATTAGGGACTCTGATCTATTCTGCTTCATTATGTAAACGAGCACATATCATAACCAGACCCACTGATGGGTCAAGATCTATAGTTTGAAGATCTCTGGGATGTAGGAGGAATATTCTAGTAGAAATGAGAACCCTCAATTCTTTGCTAGTTCTACCTTTGAACATGAAAACATTACTCTCATGAGCAAACTGAGGTGATGGAATTGGAACATCTCCAAGATCTCTTTTAGTTTTAACCTAATCATCAAGGAGTTTCCATCTTCATGCAGGTGATCTCCCCTCATCTGGTAATCAGGGAAGATGGTGCATTTTCCCCCTCCATGCAGTACTGACCACTCCCATGTGTCTCTCATCCCCCACCCCCTTACCGACATCCATTTCCAAGGGGCTGCAGTGCTGTCAGCTGCTCAGCCCAGGGGCCTGACTCCAACCACAGCTGTTGTTTGGATCATCAATCCCAGAAACCCTGCTGGCTGGGGATGTTAGTCCCCAGGTTCCACCCCAAAGCCATATAACCTCGCAGGGCTAAAGCAAGTAAGCACAGTATTAATATTAACACAGATTTCTCATGACGTATGTTGTATGTTTAATGGCCCATCCATCAGACTTCTAAATCACAGATCTACTTTGAATTTAGGACATGCTTTTTGCATTTGGAAATGTAAACTCTGACCATATTTAGGCAAAATTCTAAACCTTCTGAAAAGAAAATATAAACTTTCCAGTTCATTAAAGAGAGAATTTAAACACAGTATATTTAGAGAGAAGTTTCTTAGACTGTAATGCCAAAGTGATTTTGAAAATCACAAGGTGCTCAAAGCTTTGTGGTAAATTCTTCTTAAATAAGAAAGATAATTATCTGTATAATTTCTGTGTATGCACTAAATAAACATACACACACAGGTACATACATGTACAGCCACAAGCCTCTACCAAAGCTGATGTTAATAAGAAAGTGTTCCTAAGTGGTGAAGTCTGGATAGTACAGCCAATTAAAGAATTAAAACTGACACGTATCTTAGGGGCTGCAAGAGATATGCATTTTTCCATCCACAGGATTCTGGATAGAGTACCTATCTCAGTAGACAACCAAAAAATCCAATGTGGGACCATTGTGCACTTACCTTTGCCACTGAGAGGGAAAGGGTAGAAGTGCTTTAAGCATGTGTCCATTCCATGTACACTTTGCACTGCACAGCACCGTGTATATATATATATATATATATATATATATATATATATATATATATATATATATATTAATTAATAGTAGAG